GGACATGTATCTAACATGTATAATCTATGTATCAAGTTTGAATGAAAACTGACAAAGCATGTCCAAAATACAACATTTTCAAAAAACAAGATGGCTGCCAGTCAGCCATTTTGAATCGAATCGCTAAACCACTGCATGTGCATATGTCCCACATAAGGTACTAGGCATATGCAAAGAATGAACGGAATCGGTCCACATGATTCTGAAATATGACTCTGGACAGACTGACGCACGTACGGACGGACACACAAACGGACGGACAGACAGACTCAGGAACTCACGGACGGTCGGGGACATGTATCCTAACATGTATGATCTATGTACTAAATTTGAATGAAAACTGACAAAGCATGTCCAAAATACAACATTTTCAAAAAACAAGATGGCTGCCAGTCGACCATCTTTGATCTAATTGCGAAATAAATCGTCATGGACATGTATCCTAACATATATAATCTATGTATCAAGTTTGAATGAAAACTGACAAAGCATGTCCAAAATACAACATTTTCAAAAAACAAGATGGCTGCCAGTCGGCCATTTTGAACCGAATCACTAAACCACTGCATGTGCATATGTCCCACATAAAATACTAGGCACATGCAAAGAATGAACGGAATTGGTCCAAGGGATTCTGAGATATGACTCTGGACGGACGCACGGACGCACAGACAGACGGAGACCAAATTATAAGTCCCCGTTTTCGGACTTCGTCCGAGCGGGGACTAATAAACATGTCAGAGCTATGGATCCAGAAGCTGATGCTTATTCTTGATTATGATGATTTTTTTTAACATTAAAATAATTGGCATTCAGTCATCTTGTATCTGATCTTCAAACGAGTACTTGTTAATATTGAGAGATATTGCTCTGGAACAGCATTAATTAAAACAAAATGACCATCGGTCGGCCATTTTTAATCAGATTGTCAAACCAATAAACAAATTTTTGATGATGTATGTACCAAGTTTGAACAAAATCCATCTGCAAACAGCTGAGATCCAGATCCAGAATGCCAGAAATGCTTGGTTTTGATAATTGTTCAGCACAAAAATGGCTGCCATTTGTCCATCTTGAATCAGATCGATAAACAAATTATTATGAATATGTATAATATTATGTTCTAGGCATGTCTAAGATATGGGCATGGAAACATGCACACACAGGTAGACACACAGATGCATGGACACAGGCAATCAATGCATAAAGACTGGAAAAGTCCACACTGACTCATAAAATTCATTATAATTGGTCTCTTGTGAAATTAAAATGGATTACATTATTCATATACAGGATGAAAATATGAAAGAACCAATGGATAATACTAATGTCTAACTTATAACACATTCAAAACGTATTGTCAATGGTTCATCCAATTATTTTAAATGTATGTGAAAACAACACAAAAAGGGAGAGATTGAAAAAGGATTTTTCACAGTGAGCATGCTGGTTTTGAGAATTACTTGCTCAAGCTATTGTTAATAAACTTTGCTTAGGAAATGTGTCAGTTGATTGACATAATCTGACTATGCAGCATCATCATTTCTTTCGGGGATTATATGGTCTTATATAAACTAATAGTAACTGCTAACATGGGATGTGCAGCAAGTAAATAGCTCTGAATACATGGCAAGGTGAATGCTGTCAAGTCAAGGTAAATGTGTACTACCGGTACATGCTGTGATGTGTAGCTCAGCAATTTGACGTATATATGTTTATTTTGATTAAACATAGTACTAGTATTAACCTTGCTGTGTATTCAGGTTTTATCTATTTTTAAGGACTTTAAAGTCATCAAAACACAAACCAGCAGCAAAATTACGTTAAATATCTTCACTTGCTGCATCAAGTGTCTGAATTAGCAACTATTAAATGCAGTTTTGTAGTATCTTCACAGTCATGGAATCTATATGTATTTCCTACATGAATGGCATGCACATTTTTAAGCATACATGCAGCATTGTGCTACCAGGTATAAGGAACTCTACATGTTGCAAACATGAGACAACAACAAATCATTATTATTACATAATACTCACAAATGAAGAGTGATACCCATCTCCCTCAGCTCCCTCACCGACAACAATGGAGATATGATATCTTGCCCGAAGCGATCATAAACCAATATTTTCCATACTGGTTCTGTAGTATTTGATTTGCTTGGAGTAACATTGAGATTAAGCATACGCTTCAGTGAGGCTATAGTGACAAAACAATAATTATGGTGGCAGTTGAGTATAAAAAATCCACATTTTGGTTCATTTTAAGACAATACAAATAATATATTTGGACATGCAACTGAGGTAAACATAGAAAGAAATGATGTAGTGTGTCACACGTTCTATTATGTAACCACCTGTTTGAGTGCAGGCAAGATGTCTCAAACTTTCTCAAATCCTGCCTAGAGCTCAGAATTTCTCAGCCAATCAGAATGCTTCATTGCCAGGCTTTCAATACATGAAATGTCCAGTTTTGGACTTTTATAAAAGTCATGTGAGTGTTTTAACTTTGTCAAAATACTAAATAGGTTTAAACTATAAGCTCAGCAAACGGATTTGAATACACATAGCTCTTTGGACTATGTATCATATATGGCACATATGCAAATTTTATGAGACCAAGGCAGCACATTTCAAAATATCCATGGTCAGTACACACATGTAGTGATTCATGTATTATGTTATAAAAACAGCTAGATAACTATGGGTGTGTTTGGTAAAGGAATATACAATTAAGCTGGGAAGCACTGAAGGGTAGAGGTGGGTTAGAGTAGGGGTGGGGGTATGAACAGAATTCTTTTTCAGGAATTGTTTATCTGATTTGTTTTAAAATTTCACCAACAGAAGGATTTTGAATCACTGAAATCTGTGATTTATACAAGAAATTCCCTGTGAATAACTTCCAAAATAATCAATTAATCAAAAACTATGTTATTGTCCCCCACTCCTGAAACAGCTCATCTCATAGTAATAATATCTCATAGTAGGTAAATCTAAAAGGGTAAAGAGATATTACCAGCATTTTACTTAGGCTTTAACAGAACATGCATAGATTCTAGGCCCAATATATAACATAACGACGAGTTTGTTTTTGTTCAATAAAACATTTTGAGGCTCAATGACGTAACTACATTGTATTCACAATTTGACATCTCAAGCATTTGTGTTTTTTCATGAAACTTTAGAATAAATATGTGACACTACACAGATCACAATCATAAGTGCTCTAATCTTTGTACTGCATGGTTGCGTGACGTGTTGCTGTTTGTATTAATACACAGCTGCTTTATACAAAACGTCATTACAGTGTACTGATATTTATCACTCAAAATTACAAAATATATATATTTTTATGTTTTGGTTACACCAATACCACATGAGCCCACACTGAAGTGTGTGTATGGAGTTATATAAATATAAATTATTTATTTATATTTGACTCAGATTCGGGCGCAATCATACGGATGTAGTTTAACTTGTTATTATCAGTGACTGTTTCTCTACATTGATTGGCCGGCCATCGACTGACGCCTCAAACCGGTAGTGATGGGCGTTTAGTTGATATAATGTTGGCTTATAAACCCCAACGATCAATAAGCGCACTCCAGGGATGGTCTGTGCAATCAGTATTATATATAAGATAACCGCATGTCTCTAAAAAGGAACATAATAACTCTTCACCAGGAAGTAACACTCACCGATTTGTTTTTCACGAATGGTGGCCGCCATCTTGGTTGAATTGACCACGCATGCCCTGTAGACGTGGCAGCTGATATTGACTCAATATGTGAACTCGTTGACGCGTGACAGACAGGCCATGAAGTGACAATGCGTCAATATTAAAATTACAATTAAAAACTAGTTAGAATATTAACTTACTTACTGAGACTTTTTGATGGGACATAAATGCCAAATCACCGTGACTGTAGTATCTTTAATGTGTTCTCGAAGGGCAATAGTATAATAATGGGCGAGCAATTAGAAGTATGGAAATGTCGATGGCAGCACAATTGCGCTATATATTTGTGTTTCTTCACTTAGTTTTGTGCGATTTTTTTCTATTTTATGATTAATTTGTTGTATTTTTGTACACTGTAAAATAAAATGTTATTGAGCCCTGACATCATCGCCCAGAGTTTCTAGTGGTCAGTCCCTTATTGAGATACAGATTCGATGTTATTACTGTAATAAATGTTCTAGTACCTGGGATCAAAGTCTATTGCAGTCTTCAGTCTCCATGGCAATCGCACGTTTATTCCAATAACTACACACAACAGATAGATTTAGTATCACATTGTCTGCCATAAACTCCGAGTACCTCCAACTACATGTACTTATTTCACTACAAATATACAAACAGATCGCAGATTGCACGGTTTCGTGTCGTTTCCTTTCTTTCAACGGAGGCAGTAAGCTGGGACATTATAATACCTCATTATATCACGCTCACTAACATTGCACTACAGTTTTTGTTTTATTAATAACATTAAAGAAACCGTAAACACTTCCGTTGACTGATGTAGTAGCATACCATGCCACCTCCAAGTTGTCACATTTAAATTGTTATTTACATCTCTACTACCGGTAATACAATTGTATTACTAGTCTGTGTTCACATATAGCGTTATATGATTTGTCGGCGCGGAAATTTTATACTAATATCATTTTTTTGGGGATACTAATATTCTTTTTTGAACAAATACTAATTATTGGTTTTCCAGTTTTACCCTTCAGCCTCTCGCAATGGCTACATTAATCTCCGAATTTTAACAATGGCTTTATTAATCTCCGAATTTTAACATTATAAACACAAACTGAGCTACGTTACATCAATCAATCAACCAATCAGTCAATTCTTAAAAATGTTGGAGGAGCCTAATATCTCTGACTATCAATTTGAAAGTATATTATATACTAAAAAAAACTTT